CTGGAGGGGGTGCAGGTTAGGATGGAGCCCCAGGGAAAATGGGAAGAGAGTATGGTGGGGGGAGATTGATAAGAAATATAAGGGACGGCAAAAGCACCCCCAGGATTCAGTGTTCGGGACTCAGCATTAGAGATTTCGGCATTTTCGGATCTTCAGCGACTCAGGGGTCGGGGACTTCTGCCCCCAGCGCGCTGATCTCCCGCAAGGCTGGTGCGGCCTCTGAGGACATGGGAGGCCTCCAGCGCCCGCCTCAGAGAGGGAAAGTTCGGAGGCTTTGCAGGTGGCTGAGCGACTGAAACTGCTCCCGGTTCTGCTGCTGTCACAGCCTGGCCTGGCGGGGAAGGAGCAGGCCCGGGCCGGGGCCTCCCTGAGCTGCGAGTGGGGCCGGGGGTCGGGTCGCTCGGCCACTGCAGCTGCTGTTTGGAGAGTCGCGTGTCTGGCGCTGCGCTGGGGCGTCCCGGCGGCTCCGGGAGTGTCTCCTGCTGCGTCTCCTGCTGTCTCGTGAGGTGGATCCGGCCTGTGGTCCGGCTCCCGTGTGCTCCAGGTCAGCAGTGGCGGGAAGACCCCATCTTGGGAGCATTTGTATTCAGAACTTTAAAACACTGGACACGGCCTCAGGCGAGGTAAATGGCCTTTTTGGCCTCAGTAACTCTTTTTTTCCCTGGTTTGTTAAATAAATCCATTATTGTTGCTCTCTGAGCCTGAGTGGTCTTGCAATTGTGTATAGGGGTGAAGAACTCAGAGGGTGACCGGTACACTATTAGGGCATGTCCTTGGCCAGTGTTAGTGCCCCTTGCTGAGGGCATGCTGTATGAACTGGCCTCGGGTTGCTCTTGAGCGCACGTGTGTGTGGATACACTTATGAACGACAGCCAAGGGCTGACAGCTGAGCGAGGCCCAGGACACACCCCAACGGTGCACATGCGGGCCTGTGGCTGGCACCCACGGCCGGCTCAGGGAGTCCTGCTGGAGAAACACAACGTTTTCCAGATGCTCGCTGTTCAGGTCGCTCAGGAAATAACCCAGAGGCACCAACAAGGGCCAGGAGGCCACGCCCGAATCTCCAGCAGCCGTGGTGTGTGTGGCCATGAGGAGACGCAGACGGCGAGTTGACCAGGGTGGTGAGAGCAGGTGCACAGCCCAGCCCAGGGCGGGGCTGCCCTTGCGAGATGCTGGGCGGGACACATTCTTGAAGGAAAAAGGAAGAAGCGACATGTGGCCACACAATGGGGTTTCAGAACGGAGCAGCACCCACCGTCCAGGGCTGCCCGGCTCGGCCCTCCCTCCGGCTCCACGGCCCCAGACCAGCCTCTGGGCCTCGGCCTGCTGACGCTGGGCTCGGCTCCCTTACACGTGATCTCTGAACACAGCAGACCAGATTAGAAACAGAACAAAATGTTATCTGGAAAAGCCCCAAATGCTTGGAAGGAATACAGCAGACACCCAGCTGCCATAAGGTAAAGCCTCCGGGGGAGAAGGAAATATTTTGAATTGAATCGAAACACGTTTCAGTTGCGGGAGGTGACCGCAGAGGGGTCAGTTTGCAGCATTAAACGTTAAACATTTGTATTAGGTCTGGAATCAGTAACTTAAGCTTTTATCTTAGGAAATCTAGGACAATAAGAACATATTAACCCCAAAGAAATGAGAATAAGAGGGGCCTTGGGCCTCCCTGGTGGCGCAGCGGGTCGAGTACAGCACTGTGAAGCTGTCCGCAGCCTCTGCAGCTCCAGTTCGATGCCCGGCCAGCCAGGGAGAATCCCACATGGCGCGCAGACCTCTCCTGCCGCCCGCTGCTCCCCTCAGCAGTGTGCTTTCTCAGTCTGCCTGTTCTGCTCCCCGCTCTGGCTCTGGTGGATCCTCTCACCCTCCCGCGCTTCTCACTGTACCCAGTGCTTGTATAAATAAATAAATAAATCTTTAAAAAAATCAATAAATAAAAATAAATCTTAAAAAAAAAAAAAACAGCGGGGCCTCCCTGGTGGCGCAAGGGGTTAAGACACCACACAATGAGGCAATCCACAGCCTCTGCAGCGCAAGTTCAGTCCCCAGCCAGGGAGCTGCCCACAGACCTCTGTGGGCACAGACCACAGGCCACAGCTGCAGCAGACCTCTCCTGGCTCCCCACTGCTCCCCTTGGCAGTGGTTTCCAGTGGATCCACCTGTTCTGCTCCCCACTCTGTCTCTGGTGACTCCTCTCACCCCCCACCTCTAGCCTGTACCCCAGTTCTTGTATGCATAAATAAATGAATTTTTTTTTAAAAAAGAAATGAGAATGAGAGCAGAAAAATGTGAAATTGGCAGAAGAAAGACAATAGAGAAAACCAAAGAGAGCAAAAGAGCCTCTTCAAAAACAATACGACCGTAGAGATAACGTCCAGGCACCTCAGCAGGGGCGGGAGGACACGCCCCTCCCCACTGGTCAGGAGGCCAGCATGGGGGTGCCTCACAGCCCTTGGTGGGGTGCAGAGGAAACGCCGCAGCCCCAGACCACGTTCGGTGACTGAGATAAAACAGATGAAAACGAAAAACTTACTCAGAAGGAAAGTGCAGCGCGGCCTCCACCTCCCCCCAGAGGAACAGTCTGAAGTGTTAATACAACAACCGTCACGGGCACCGGCCTGGCAGGAGCTGCTGGGGGGCCCGCACCCGAGCGAGGAAGCCACGGTCACGCCGGGGACACAGGGGTGCTTGGCCGGACCGCGCCACGGTCACGGCAAGGGAGCTCAGCACCTCTCCAGAGCCCAGAGGCTGCCCCGGGCGGCCGCGGCCCCGGCCAGTCCTCGCCTCAGTCTCATGAACGGTACGAGTCCTCGGTGCTCTCTGATATGGAAAATGGGTGCAATTCAAGTAACAAATATTAGGGGTTTGAGGTTTCCAGTCACTAAAAATGGTTTTATTAATTTGGATTTGAGGGTCCAGCGTGGCTGGCCTGGTCCACGCCCGTCTGCTCCACTGCCCCAAGCTCCACCCACGTCACACCCTCCAGCCTCAGCATCGCCAGGCTGGCTTGGCTTGGGGTCCAGCTCGGGGTGTGTGGGGGCCCCGAGTGAGCCTATGGACTGGTGAAGGAGCGGTGGGGTGTCTCGGGTGCCCGCCAGGAACCCCGGCCGGCAGGACACACCAGGAAAAGGACTCCGGCCTCCTCTGACTGGGCCGGCCCCCTCCCTGGGCGCAGCAGGCCAGGCCCTCTCTGAGGATGCCCCGCAGGGGCGTCCTACTGTGGCCTGGGCTCAGGGGGGCCTGAAGTCCCTTGCTGCACCCCCCAGGCCCCTCAGCCCTCCCAAGCCGCCCACCCCAGGGCAGCCTTTCCGTCGCAGTGAAGATGAAAGAGGCTTCGCGAGGACAAAGAGGCGAGCGGGTGTGCGGGTCTCCGGGCTGCGGGCGCACGGCGCTGGCAGGCACGGAGCCTCCCCACGGGGCGCAGCCGGGCTGGCTGGGGGTGCCGGAAGGGCCGTGGTCAGGGCAGGCCTGCGGCTGCCGGGCACCATGCCCACCTGGCCCCCGCAGGCTGGACACACTTTCCCAGCACCAGTGGCCGTGGACTTACTGCAAAATTAGCAGAATGAGGTCCGGGAGCAGAGCCCCAGTGCCCAAGGCCGCTGGCCAGGGCCCCACTGGGCACTCACGGGAGGCCCCTGGCAGGCATCTGTCAGCACCAGTGTCCGGCCACGCCCGGCTGCTGGGCTCTACTCTGACTCCCGCGCAGAGGGACGGCGCTCTGGGGACAAAGTGGTGGCACCTCCACGGGGTCAGCAGGGGGGCGCTGGTGCGGGGAGAGGGGGCAGGGCACCTCTGCTCTGTATCCGTGTCGATGACCCCCAGACTGTGCCTGGCAGAGCCCATGGGTGGGGTGGGGTGCGGGCTGGGTCTGGGGGTGCAGGGAGCGCGCCAACCCCACTGACCGTGCGCATCATGCCTTGCACAGACCCCCAGCTGAGTTGCTCAAAGGCAGGCGCTTCTGAGCAGGGAGACTGCCCTGAGTGGGAGGTGATTTCTCTGTTTACAGCGCCCGCCGCCCGTGCCTCTGCCTCCGGCAGGAAGGCTCCCGAGAGCAGCGCTGACTCATGTCCCTGCTCCTTGCTGGGGGGGGGTTCCCCACGCGGGGGACACCTGCAGCCACAGGCTCTAAGCACGGCGTGGGGATGAGAGGTGCCCCACGGCCCCTGGGTGGGGACCCGCAGAGGGTCAGCTGCAGCTGGACGGACGTGCTGACAGCAGCTGGTCCTGGGCACTGCCCCCCTGCCCGCCCCGGCGGGGGTTCTGCTGGGAGCCACGGGGAAGGGCTGCCGGGCAGGGTGGGCCGCTCCGGCCCCTCTCCCAGCTGTGTGCGTGGAGACGTGCCCCGCCCCGCCCCTGACCCTCTGTCCTGGGGCCACTGTGCCACGCCAGGTGGCATCTCCAAGCCTCTTCCCGCGCCAGGTGGCCCTGCCCGCTCAGGACCCTGGCCTGGTGGTCCTGCCAGGCTGCGCGTTCCAGTCCATTCCCAGGGAGGGTGCCGCTCCGGGACCCCGGGGCCTTGCTCTGGCCCTGAGAAGCCGTTCACTGCGCACGCGTCCGCGCCCCCAAACCCAGGCCCGGCAGAGGGGAGATGGCACCCGGGCACCACCAGCCTCTGAGCACCGCCCAGATGGCGCCGTCTCCCCAGGCTGTGAGGCACAGCGGGACACCCCGGGGCGGCAGGCGCCACCACACAGCACCCCCCACCTAGGGAGCAGCGGACCACACCCCTGGGTGGCCGGGGTCCCAGCCCCTTGGGTGGAAGGGGGACGAGAGGGGCTGACGTGGGCAGCCCTGCGGTGAGGGGAGGGAGGGCCCTTTCCAGTTCTCCAGGAGCCAAGCCCCTCCTCCTCCCTGCACCCAGGGGTGCCCAGACTACTTTTGGGGCAAGGGATAGACAAGTGCTGAGGCTGCCTTGAGGGGGCGCCAGCTGTGACCCCAGCCAGGTGACCTCTGACCCTGTCTCTTGCCGCCCCGCCCTCCTCGCCCTAGCTGCTCACCTGGAGGACGACCTTGATGGTGTGGGTGCCCACGACGGGGGTGCACACCAGGCCGCCGGGGTGCTGGCCGTCGGCGCTGCGGTTCTGCTGGCCCATGGCGAACAGCATGGGCAGGGCCAGCAGCCCGGAGGTCAGCCAGATGGCGCCGATGAACTTCTTGGTGCGGCTGCGGGACATGAGGGTCTTGGCCTTGAAGGGGTGGCAGATGGCCAGGTAGCGCTCCACGCTCAGGCTGGCCACGTTGAGGGCCGTGGCGAAGGTGCAGGCGTCCCGCAGGAAGTAGTAGCCGCGGCAGCCGGCGTCGCCGAAGGCCCAGGGGTGGTGCACCCAGATGAAGTTGTACAGCTCCACGGGCATGGCCAGCAGCAGGATGAGCAGGTCGGACGCGGCCAGGCTGCCCAGGTGGTAGTGGACGGTGCTCTGCAGGTGCTGCAGCGACTTCTTGCGAGCCAGCGTGAAGGCCGTCACCGCGTTGCCGGCTGTGCCCACCACGAAGAGCGCCAGGTACACGGCGGTCACCAGCGCCTTGGAGTAGATGTCCGTGTTCACGTCCAGGTTGCTGCTGGGCGCCTCGGCCCCGAGCCGCGAGGCGTTCCCCGAGCCGTTGCCCCGGCCCAGGGCCAGCAGCGCGGCCTCCAGCCCCGACAGCGGCCAGGCGGTGGCACGGGGCGCGGAGCTGTTGGGGCGCATGGTGGGGCGCGGGCGGGCGGCGCCCGGGGCTCCGCCGCTGGCCCGGTGGTCGCGCCTTCAGCGCCGGCAGCCGCGAGGGTGGCGCGTCCCCGGCGGGACCGAGGGCGGCGGCGGGAGGCGGGAGGCGGGAGGCGCGCGGGCCAGCGGGGAAGCGCCGGCAGGACCCGCCGCCCGAGCGCGCGACGCTGGAGCTCCCCGGCTCCGCGAGGGCCCCGCCTCCCCCGGCCTGCGGACCCCGCGGCTGCCCGGCCCTCGGCGGGTCCCTGCGGGCTCGGGGCTCCGGCGCGGTGCCCGCGGGGCGCGCGGAGCGGGGCGCACGCACGGCTGCCCAGCGCGCTCTCCCGGGCCCGCCGCTCCCCGCGCTCGCGGCCACCCCCGCGCCGCGCCCCGCCGGCCGAGCCCTCCCCGCGCCGCGCCCCGACCGCGCTGCCGGCTCCGCGGAGAGGGGCGGTCGGGGAGGGCGGTCCCGGCGCTGTCCCCGCCCCCAGCCCGGCCCGAGGGTCTCGGCGCTGGGGCCCTGCGGATGCGGGGAGCGCCCCGGCCGGCGCTTGAGGAGTCTCGGACCCCCCCCCGTCACCCCAAATTCTTTAGCCTTTCGGGAAGGGGGCCCACACCCAGCATGCTGGGTGGAGAGGGGGTGCTGGGGAAGGCGGGGCACAGGCTTCCCGCCAGGACTCGGGGCTCGGCGCCTGCCTCCTGGATGCCCTCTGGGGCCCAAAGCTGGGTGCCAAAGAGTGGGTGCTAATGCTGGGGCTCTAGCCCCACAAAGTGGGGGTGAATGAAGGGACCAGAAAGGCGGGAAAAAGGAGCACCCCTCTCCGTTCAGGCTGGCTGGGTTCCTGCCCCCGCACCCTGGGGAGCCTGGCGCCCGTGGGCATGCATTGGCGCACTCCAGCCCCTATCACCACCTGGATTTGGTCATCAGAAGGCTCCCTCGGCCCCAGGCCCATCCCCGTGTGAACTGGGGTGCCCCAGCTGGCCCTGGAGTAGGCTGCGGGGTGTGGGCTATGAGGGAGGGCGTGAGGCCAAGGAAGCCACCGCCACCTCCGCTGGCCCATCTCAGGGAGCAGGTGCTGCACTGGCACCTGCCTCCTGTGTCCAGTCAGAGTCTGCTGTGCAGGGGTCTTTGTAACAAGAAATGGCCCCTCAAAGGCGATCAGCGTCCCTCTGCCAGAGGCCAGCGCAAGGGGCTCAGGCCGAAGCGACCGGCCTCAGTATGTGTCCAGCATCTTCTAGGCCGCGGCGCGGCTCTCCGAGGGGCAGGCTGGGGCCCCGGGAGCAGGCTGCTCCTGGCCTCGGTGTTGCTGGCCGTCCCGTTCATGTTCGGGGGACAGGGCGGGGCACGGACGGGGCGGGTGCTGGGACAGTCCCCGGGGCGGGCACACGGGCTTGCGCCCCCCAGAGATGATCCGTGGGAGACTGGCCGTGGCCGCTGAGCTGCAGGCGCAGGACGGCCCGAGGGTTCTTGCCACGCAGGGAGGGCGCGGGACCCCTGCTCCTCGCCCCGAGGCTGCCGCTGCCCAGGGCGACGCCACCCCAGGGCCCTTCCCGCTGCTTAAGCTGCTGTTTGGTTTTCAAGCCCCTGACCTTTCGGCTAAGCTGGGCTTCTTTTCTCTCTGAGCCAGCCCAGGAGCTTAAAAAATCATAAAAGGCAACTTATGACAAATATTATCTCAAGACGTTTGCTCAACCGTGCAGACAAAAGGCCACGGGGAGGGTCTTCCGGCGCCAGGGGGCAGCTCGCCCGTCCCGGAGGAGCCGCCGCAGCCGGAGCTGCTGTCCCGCCGCCTGCCCTGCTGCTCTGGCCCGAGGCAGGAGCCTTCCAGCCAGCTGAGGTCCCTCCGAGGGCTGGCAAGGCCAAGCCCGTCTGGCTGTCTGTGGGTGACCAGACGGTGGCCTTGTCCAGCTTGGGGGCAGCAGAGCTCGGGCGGCACGTGTTACACACACCACGTGCCATCCTGAGGGGTCTTGAAACAGAGCCCCATGTCCAAGTGCTGTGCTGGGGTGCTGGGGTGCTGTGCTCACAGGCTGCCGGCTGGCCCTAGGGTCCGTGCTGGGCAGTGGAACCCCAACCCAGCCAGCCCCGCCCACGTCCAGCCCGCCCCCTGCCCCCGGGCTCCCGGCCCTGACCAGGGATCCTGACCCCCGTGGCCTGGGCTGCTGGAGCCGTGAGGGCCGTGGCCGCCTGAGAGCTGTGCTCCCGCGGGCTGCAGGGTGCCGGGCTGGGGAGGAGATGGGCCAGCCCTGGGTCCACCCCGCCCTGCCCAGGGTGCTGGGGCCAGGTCCCTAGCGGGGGAGCATCTGTGCCTGGGGCTGAGGGTGCCGGGCGGGACTCAGGGGCCCAGGGCGCCCTTCAGGGCGGGGCTCTGCGGTGTGGTTCATGGGCAGGAGGGACGGTGGTCAGGGTCAGCTCAGACACTTGGACCCCGCCCCGCCCCAGGGTGGGGGCGATGGGGATTAGTAGGAGGACCCCCGGTTGTCCCCGGGGCCCCACTCCTGAGCTGGGCCTGTGCCTGCAGTGCCACTTCTCATGTCCCCCCAGGTTCTCCCGGCCCCCAGTTCCGGCATGCAGGGGCCCTGCGCCTCCGGCAACTGATGCGGCAGGAACTGGCCAGAGCCTCCGACCCCGCTCATGAGGCCAGCGCCGTGCCCAGGCCGGGCGCGTCCTGCAGCTCTGACGCGGCCATGGCTGACCCCCCGGGGCCCCGCGCATCCATCATCCAGCGCCCTCTCCCCGGCCAGACCCCGGCCTCTCTCCACCAGCCGGGAAGCAACTGCCCCGGGCGCCGCGAGCCCCCCACTTCTTAAGCTTCCTGGAGTCGTCAGCTCAGTCCCCCGGGAGGCAGACGCCTGGCGTGTGGTCCTGAGATGGGGCCGGGGAGCCGGTGGGCAGTCAGGGTGACGGGAAGAGGCAGGAGGGAGAGGTGGGGCTGGCGGGGGCTGGGGCCGGCGGCGCTTGCCAGGACGCTGGCTGCTGGGGGCACCTCCCCACAGGCCTGGTCCCACCGGGCCTCTTGCCCTCCAAAGTCGGCCCCCCTGCGCAGGGGGATGGCTGCAGGACACGGTCTCGCCGAGGTCACGCCTGCCGCTCCTTCCCGGCCCAGCTTCTCTCGGCCGGTCCTCTGCACACCCTTCTAGCCCGGCCGGGCAGACCCGCCGCAGAGAGGGCGGGAGGGGCTTCCCCCACGCCTCCCCGCACAGGGCATGCCCGCCACCTCGCGGGAAAGGCCAGGGCAGGCCCAGGCCCCCGCACCTCGGCCACCGAGCCTTGGCCACCGTGCCCGGAGGGACAAGCCGGCGGAGCCTCGGGGCCTGCCCGCCCGTGAGCTGCCCTGGCCCTGGCCCTGGTGCTGTGGGGCTGAGCGGGGACGCGCCTGCTTTGTTCTGGGCCCTCCACGCGCGCCTCCGCCGCTGCGCCCCTCCCCTGTGTGCCCACGAGCCGCAGCCGGAGCAGGGCCTTGCCCGCGGGTGGGCGCCGCGGTGGAGCCGGCCTGCAGATTCCATCCTCCTTTTAGGAAGGGCCGAGGCTGCTGCGTGCAGCCAAATGAAAAATCTTGCTGTCGACATCCTCACCGGCCCGGATCCCGGCGTCTGGCGGCGGCAATCTTTTTCAAATGCCACTTTTGTTTAACTGGCGCGTCTCTGGAGGCCGTCTGCCGCCTCGCTCCTCGTTGCAGGCCAAACAGCGCACTCGGCCCTCGGCAGCTGGCACCTGCCCAGGCGGGGACATCTGTCCACTCTGCTTATCCAGACCCAAGGCACCCACTGCCCCAGCGGCTGCTGGCTCAGAGGTCCTGTGCCTGGGGAGGCCTGGCCTTCTCCTCCCCAACCCCAGGGCTCCACGGCCCCTGCCCTGTAGCCTGGCACTGCCTGGCCTGCTTGCTGGGAGGGGCAGCCCCGCTGGCTGGTTGCTCAGCTGGGTCCAGGGCGAGCTGGGGATGGACAGAAGTAGGGGCCCTGGTGATGCTGCTGTCCCCTGGATCCTGCTGTGCCTGAAGCCTGATCTGCCCTTGCACCGGCTTTTCCTCCAGCCGGTTTGACTTGAGCGTCCACCCGCCTTCAAGCCTGGGGATGGTGGGCACGTGTGTGCAGGGGAAACGCTGCCCGAGGTGGGTGCTGGGTTCTTCGAGTCCTTTTTGCACAGAGGCAGAGGGACCCTGCGGGTTCGCTCTCCTGTAACTGGCTGGGAGTGAGGACAACCCCACGCACGAGAAGTCCCCATTGTCTGGGGACCCCGGGCCAGGGCGTGAGGAAGCGCCCCGACACTTGGCTGGGGGGAGAGTGGCTGGCGCTCTCGTGGCAGCGGTGACAAGCCCCTGCCGACCGGTCTTGGCCTGACGTGCCCACAGCCAGCGATTCGGAAACGGCTTCTTGAGAAAACGCAATCTTCGGGGCCTCGGGCTGCTGCTGTGGGAAAGCGCCGGCCCGCAGGAAGATGTCGGCCATGAGGCCTGTGTCCCCGGTGGACCACGTTGCCTCCCCCTTTGGAGCAGCCTGGGACGGCGGGCCAGGGAGTGGTCGCCCCTGCCCCAGCAGTGAGGGTCAGGCCGCAGGTGGCCGGTGGGTGGCCCTCCCCGTCCTGTGCCCACCCCCTGTGCGCTGACGCTGTCGTGGCGCGCTGCTGCCCAGAGCTGACCGCAGGGCCCCTGGGAGCCCCAGGCCAGAGGCATTATGGGAGGCGCAGCTGTGCTCAGGACGCCGCAGCCCGGCCCATCCAGCCGCGGCCGAGCTGGCCCTTGAAAAGCCCTCACGCGGGGCGCCGCCCCCACTACCCCAGCGCCCACAGCTCTCTCCCAGGGCCCGTCACATGGCTGGCTTGGGCGCCCCGGGAGCCTGGGGGGTCACGGCCCCACTCCCGAGCCAGACCCGTCCTTCCTCTGGGGAGGCCCCGCCCTCGCTGGCTCTGATGGCACTCGCGCCTCCTGGGGTGGCCCCGCGGCCCCTCTCTGGGTCAGGGTGGCCTTTGGCTCCCAGGGCCGGCTGGCAGGTCCTTCTGGGACGGCCGGGGGTCAGTGGGCAGGCGACCCTCTTTGTCTGGAAGGTCTTTCCTTCTGCAGAGGGAGGGCGCCTGTGCCCGGGCTTCGCAGCCTGGCAGCAGCAGGAATGGACAGAGTCAGCGCCGGGCGAGGTGTGGGCAGCGCTGCTCCTGCCCTGGCCTCGGCCTCCGGGCCCTCCCATCACCCGACCCGGGGCACTGGCCCGTTCTGGGCACCTCCACCTGCAGACACACGCCCCCCCTCCCGCAACTGGGCAACTGGCTGGGGCTGTCCGAGGAGCCTTGGAAACAAGGGAGGCGGGGTGGGGGCGCGGGTGGGGGTCAGGGCCATGGTGGGCGGGGCAGGCACCGGGCAGGGCGGCCCTTGGCTGGGGACTGGGGCCAGCGGCCGCAGCAGCCGGACACCCGCCTCCAGCCGCAGCGCTGGGCGACCCGGGCCTCACTCCAGTCTCGGGAGGGCTCCGGGGCGGGTGGGGGGCCGGGGCAGGGACAAGTGGGGACTCACTGCCGTGAGTCTACCTGGCCGCAACCGGAAGGAAAAGGGCAGACCGTCCCACGGCTTATCTTGTGGGGTTGGATGAACCAGACACCAGACGACACAGGCTCAAGCCCTCGGCGTCGGCAAGTGAGCCCAGCCCTGCACAGCGCCGGCCGGTGGGCTTGTCCGGGGCCCGCACCCCACAGCCCCCACGTGTCCCCTGGCGGCGCAGCCGGCTGTGGGCCCCTGCGCAGAGGCGTCCGCCAGTCCTGCGGGTCCATCGGGCCGGGTGCGGCTCAGGGCTTGGGGGACGGGCGCAGGCTGACCCGGCACGCGGCGGGAAGGACGCGCCGAACGGGGGACACAGGCCGGAGCGGCGGGGGTCCTCCTGGGCCGGTCTGTGCTGCCTCCTGGTGCCCACTGGCCGCAACTGCAGCTCCTCAGGCCGGCTCCCGCCAGGGCCCAGAGCGGCTGCTGGGCTGCGGCTCTCACTGCGGGGCCCGGGGCGCCCTCCAGGTCTGGACGCAGCTTCAGAAAACCAGCAGCACTTTCACTGAAGCGACCCAGATGTCCATTTGGGGGTACGTGTGGTCTGCTAGAGGGGCTGGGGTGGGTCCTGCAGGGGGGTGCTCAGGCCCCAGGTGAGAGGCAGAGGTGCCGAGGGGGCCCTGCCTGAGGCAGGAGGCCGCCACCCAGCACCCGTGGGGGGCAGCTTCACGGAGACCCCGGTCAGATGCCGCTGAGCCCGACACCCGCGTTCCTGCAGCCGCCACCCCCCGCTTCCTCCCGACCTGCTCCACGCATTGCTGCCTCCAGGAAACCCGCTGGGCAAGGCCGAGGCTCACCCTCCCAGAGACCAGGTCGACCGACCGGCCTCTCCCTCTCAAGGAGCCCACTAGCCAGAGGGGCCGCGGACAGCCCGGCCTGGGCTCTGGGGAGGGAGCACCCCAAAGAAGGCGGACTCTGGGCGGGTTCCACAGGCTTCGGAGACAGAGGGCTGGAGAGGTGGAGGGGTGGAGGCTGCGGGGGGCAGTGAGGTGGCCAGTGGGGGACCGCGGGAGGTCCCCAGGCCCTGAGGGGGCTGAGCCCAGAAGGGAGGAACGATTTGAGGGGAGTCTTGGGTGGAGCTGATGGGAGCAAGGCCGAGCGCTGCGCTGCGTCAGCCTGGGGACCGCTGGCCCGACGCTGCCCGGCCTCCCGGGCCTGGCCACGGGGGCCCTGAGCTCCGTGGAAGCAGGTGGTTGCACCAAACATTTTTGCGCAACAAAACAGGTGAAAGTTTAAAGCTGAGGGTGAGGCCGGGGGTTGCTGCAGAGAAGCAGCGACGACCAGCAAACGCGGTTCCTGACCCTGCGGGCTCCGTGCAGAGGGGCCGGGTGCCGTCGGGGCTCCACCCTGCGCGTGGGCCCCCGAGCCCGTGCACGCCGCCCGCAGCACCGGCACTCGCCTGCTCAGGCTGACAGAGGGGAGGCACGGGGGTCCGGTGAGCAGCTGGGGCCCCCGGGAGCAGGGGCCGCGCCCTCCTGCATCCTTCGCCTCCCCCCGTGCCTCAGTGGCTGTGGCCCCCAGCGTGGTCACGTGAAGCCACCGTGTGCCCCCTGCGGTCAGGCATGTTCCTGGGGGGACTCCTCACTGTAGTTTGGTGGTGGGGTGGGTGTGGTGAGGCAGTGCACACCACCAGGGGCCCCCGCCCAGCCTGGCTGCCACCGCTCACCCCAGGGCTGCCCATAGCTTTGGGGCGGGAGCTCGCAAAGGCCCCGCCAGCCCGACGTCACGAGCCACAGAAACAAAGCAGACCAGGCGGAGATGAGGGCCTTAGAAACTAAAATATATTCACATGGCTCATTCCAGCTGAGGACACCCACAAGCAGACGCCCCAAGGCTGAGGCCCCCTGCGGGCCGCGGCCCTCGCCCTCCCACGCAGGCGGGCACCAGGGACGCGCTGTGCAGAGCCAGCCCCACCGCGCGGCAGCTCTGTCCCTTTGCAGTGGGCCGAGGCCCGCAGCAATGCAGGCTGACTGCAGGGAGCCGGCCCAGGGGGCGCTGAGGCCAGGTCAGGGCCGGGTGGGTGCAGGGCTCGCAGGCCCGGTCAACACGTGCACCTGCCGGCCCCCCGAGAGTCAACCCATCCAGGGAGAAGCTGAGTGCGCCCTGGGGGTGTGGGTGCTGGCTTGCAGCATGGCACAGCTCAGACGTTGCTCTGGAGCTGGAGACCCGCAGGACTGTTGGGGGCGGCGGCCCGGCAGGGCAGGGAGGCTTCCGGGCCATCTGGACAGCCGGGCGGCGACCTGTACAGGAAGCAGGCGGCGGCGAAGAAGAGGAGGCCCAGGACCTGCGGAGAGAGGGGCCTGCTGGGCTTTCTCGGGGGTCCCCAGGCCCCTGTCGGTGAGGAGACCACACACCTGCACCCCAGCCCTGCGCCGACCCTGCTCTTGCTAGCGAGGGGGAGAAAAAGGACTTGACTGAAAGCAGAGGCAGCGATGAGGTGGGGCCATCCGGACTGCACGGGGCCCCCAAAGACAGGCCCAAGCCTGAAAGCTGCGAGGGGCCTTTATTTGCAGAAGTCGCCAGGGGCCTTGAGTCCTTCTGGGTCAGGGTGGGCCCAAGTCCAATGACCGGGGCCCTCCAAGGAGGGAAGTCTGGCTCTGGAAACAGGGTGGGCGCCGAGGAGGCCGCGGGGTGCGGCTCTCGGCCGGGAGCCTGAGAAGGTGCAGGCTCTGTGAAGCCGCCGCTTGGCGGCCTCGTCCCGGCCTGTGCCGGGGCCTGGCTCAGGGTGGCACCCCCGCCGGCCTTAGGGCCGGCCCAGGACACACGAGGGCCCGAGGAGGAGTGGATGCCGGCCCTGCGCACACATCCCGCCCGCCAGCACCGGCTGCAGCGGAAATGCCGTCCTGGGACGCCGGGCAGTGAGGCCCGAGGCTGTGTCCACATGGCCCGGAGCTCACGCCCAAGGGGACGCAGCGGAGGGCGAGCTGTCGGGCCCCGCACACCGCACGCGCGAAGCAGGCTCAGCACTGGCGGTCGTGGGGTGGGGACCGGCCTGGCGGCGGCCCCGGGCTCAGGCGGTCTGGCAGACGGCCCCGGGAGCCCCCGCAGGCCCTGCCCACCGCGGTTCCCACTGCTCTGCGGGATAAGCCCAGGGCCCAGCCTGCTCCCGGGGGTCCCTCCTCCTGCAAGGTTCCGGGGTGCACAGGGTTCAGGCCCCAAGAAATCAGAAGCTCCAGATCATCCTGGAGCTTGTTTGGAAGGCTTTGCGCCGTCTCCTCCCATGGGGGGGTGTGACTGGAAACGCTGCTCCCCGTGGAGGGCAGCTGAGCACAGCCGGGAGCTCCTCCCAGCAGCCTGAGCAGGAGGACGGTCCAGGGCGGGGAACCCTCCTACCATGGCCTGGCCCGGAAGGCACAGGGCAGCCGGGAGGGGAGCAGTGGGGCGAGGGGAAGGCCCTGCAGGCAGGAGGAGGGGCCAGGACAGACCCAGGACCCCACCACCCCGGCAGCCTCCCAGCCCCCTGCAGGCGGAGGGGCAGAGAGGAGCTGGCTGCAGGGAGCTGCCGATGCCAGGGCGCGAGTGCAGCTGTGCAGGTCCTGGGGCTGCCTTGGCCTCCAGTGAATAGAGAAAATTCTTATCTTTCGGGGATAGCCTTGGGGCTCCCTTCTTCCGGTGCACCCCAAGATGCGATCCCCACTCACCTTGTATGCCAGCCCAGCCACCAGCATGGCCCGGCTCATGGCCGCGTTCTGGAAGGCCAGGCAGGAGCCCTGCCGGTCGCACTGGTGCTGCCAGAGCAGGCAGGCCCGGTCGATCACCCAGCCGAAGGCGACGGGTCCCGGGATGCTCCCTGGGGAGGGAGGGACACACTCAGACCCACAGGCCGCGGGCAGCCGGAGCCCGTGTCTCAGACTTCAGCAGGCGGGGAGGGAGCCCCAGTAGATGCCCCACAGCACCTAGTGCTCGGACCACGATCCACTGCACTCCCAGGGCCAGGGACCGCTGCGGGCCGCAGACGCACCTGCAGGGAGAGGGCGGTGTCGGTGGGGCTGGGCGGGGCTCCTGGGCCAGACCCCAGGTCCTCTGCGCCCACCGCGGCCACAGGGAAGGCTCTGGGCCGGAGCCCAGCCCCGGCCTACCGCAGGGTGGCGGTCAGTGCTGGGACGCTGCCGAGGAACGTGAAGAGGATCAGCACGACCATGAAGGCCAGGAGGAGGGGCTTTCCCGGGCAGGCGGAGGCGCACTTCCCCGCGGTGGCGTTGCCAAGGCCGGAGGAGAGGTTCTGGGGGACACAGCGGCAGCCCAGGTACACCTGCGGGCGATGACAGTCCGTCTGCGGCTGCACCCAGGCCGGGCCAGGCTGGGCCGCGGGCGCGGGGCGGCGGGACTGTGGGGCCACACTCACCTTCTGGCCTCCGGGGCTGCTGGCGGTCGTCCCCGGGCAGCCCGCGTGGCAGGGCGAGTAGTAGGTGAGGCCGTCGGAGCCGCACACGGGGCTGTAGAGCTCGGGCGGGCAGCGGCAGGCGGCGTTGCAGGCGGCCGTCAGCTCCGGGTGTCCACTGGGCAGGGGCCTGCGGGAGGGCGGCGGGTGGGCGGGCGGAGGCCGGTGCCAAGTCCCGTGGTGGAGGTGACCACCCAGGCCACTCACGGCCCCGCCATGCCCGCTCGCCACGCCCACCCCGTGGGCTCGTGCTTTCCCGGGCGCAAATGCCAACACACGGGGAGCAGTGGGCACGCACCTGTACCCACGAGGCTTGACGCACAGTCCCCCCGGGGTTGCCGCCGGTGGTATCACTCGGCTCCCCACTCCCCGGGCCCTGTCCCGCTCCACAGGGAGCCCAGGCTGTTGCCCCTGCCAGGGCGGGGCCCCCAGCCACCACTGGGCCTCCCACTGGCCCCTCTCCCTTGAGGCTGCGGCCTGCCGGGGACGGCTGCACGAGGACCCTGGAGGGACATCAGCAGTGGCTGGGGGCAAGTGGCTGCTGGAGCCTTGGGTCACAGCGATGCTGTGAGCCGGGCAGTGCCGAGCAGGGGTCCAGGTCTCCTGCTGTTTACTCGAGGGAATGCGGGGCCCTCCCCGCCCCTTCAAACAGTGCCCACCCCAAGGGCCGGCTGGCCTCACCTGCCGCCGTAGCTGGCCGTCACGCCCGCCACGGGCACGTTGGGGCAGTGTGTGAAGAAGACCAGGGTGGCCAGCAGACTGGCCAGGGTGCCCAGCAGGCAGAGCTTGACCATGCCCGAGCCACGAAGCTTGAGCTTGTTCACCAGGATGCCGCCCAGGAGGGTGCCGCCGCCGCCCGCGGGCACCACCATATACCCTGCAGGAGCCTCAGGGAGGTGCGGGCTCAGGGAGGGCGTAGGACTGGGACATCCTCTGCACTTGGGGGGCTCCATTTGGCAGAGGGGCAAGTTCAGGTGCAGGAAGTAGGCCCGTCTGACAGGCAGGGCGGGCTCTGCTGGGGTGAGCCGGCCTGTTGAGTGCAGCCCCCTGGGAGTGCGGGCAGGGCGCTGGGGAGCCAGGCGGGGCGGGGGACAGACACAGGGGCGGGTGGACTGAGAGGACGGGGCCGCCTTCCATGCGCGGCCAGGACGGGCTGGCCTGCGACTCCTGGGCTGTCCCAGGGATGGGGTGCAGATGGGCTGGGGGTCCCCAAGGGGCAGCCCCCGTGCCTCTGGGGCTCAGCGTCTCCCAGCCACGCCGGAAGCCAGCCCGCCGGGCGGCAGGTCCCAGGCGTTGGGGGGCGGCGCTGCGGCTGGGGGTGCGGTCCGTGGAATCACCGGGGCGGGGAGGCTGGGCCAGGGGGCGGCCGCGGCGGCAGCAGGGAAGGGGCGGGGTGCGCGGGGCGGCCCACCGCGCTCTCCCCCCATGCCCAGCGCCCGTGCCGGAAGCGGCCCGTCCCTGCCCGACCCCGCGTGACCCCGCCCGGCGGAGCCCTGCCCTGCGCCCCTGCAACGCGCCCTGCCCGGGACGCCCCGTGGGCACCGGCAGGACCGAGTGCGAAGAGGACCTCGTCCGCTCCGGGGGTCCAGCTGCCCTGGCCCCACCTCCGGAGCCCTGGGCCCTGCGGGACCGCCGGGGGCTTCCCACCAGGAGGGCACGGCCCCGGGGTCCTGGGTACAACCAGTCAGCAGGCAGCAGGCTGTGCCCGGCCCTGGGCGCCGCACAGCAGCCCCGCCCCCCCACAGACAGCCCCGCCCCCAAAGCCCCGCCCCGCCCCCCGCCCCAGACAGCCCCGCCCCCAGACAGCCCCGCCCCACCCCCAGACAGCCCCGCCCCGAAGCCCCGCCCCCGCAGCCCCGCCCCGCCCCTCCCACAGACGGCCCCGCCCCACAGCCCCGCCCCGCCCAGACAGCCCCGCCCCCGCCCCAGGCAGCCCCGCCCCCAGGCAGCCACGCCCCCGCCCCGCCCCACAGACAGCCCCGCCCCGAAGCCCCGCCCCTCCCACAGACGGCCCGGCCCGGCCCCGCCCCGCCCCCAGACAGCCCCGCCCCCACATCCCGCCCCGCCCCGCCCCGCCCACGGACGGCCCCGCCTCCGCAGCCCCGCCCCGCCCACAGACGGCCCCGCCCCCGCAGCCCCGCAGCCCCGCAGCCCCCGCAGCCCCGCAGCCCCCCCCACGCCCAGCCCGCGCTGAGGGCGGCGGGGCGCGAGCCGGGTCTGGGGGTCCCGCCGTCCGAGAGCGACGCAGCCCCTGGCCCGGCCCTTTCCTCACCGAACAAGGAGGCGGCCTGCGGGGCGCTCAGGCCGAGCTGCGACTCCAGGAACTTGGGCCCGAACGTGGACATGCCGGCGACCAGCGTGGCCTCGGCGGCCGCGGCCAGGCACAGCAGCACGAACGCGGGGTTCCGCAGCAGGAGCCCGGCGGCGCTGCGCGGGGGGCCGGTCAGGGCCGCGGGGCGCCGGGGCGGGGGGCCGGGGGCCGCCCGCCCCCCCACCCCGCCGCAGCCCCCCGCCCCCCCACCCCGCCGCAGCCCCCCGGCCACGCTCCGCGCTCCGGGGGGCGCCGCAGAGGGGGCAGCCCCCGCCTCCGGCCTGCGGGGCCCCTCTTCCCGGCCTCTCGGGAGCGGGAGAGCCCGTGTGGGGGCCCCCGGGGATCCCCCACCCCCCCTCCACCTCCCCTCCAGGGGTCAGGACCGCGCGGGGCCCAGGGCCTGGGGCGGGGGTGGCCGTGCTGCCACTTACACTGGCAGCTCCCGCACGGCGCTCCTGAAGCGGGGGCTGCCGGCCGGCCCGCGGCCGCTGGCCTGCAGCTGACGAGCCTCGTGGCGCTGGGAGCCTGGGAGCGCCAGGAAGGGGGGCGTCAGGAGCCGGTGGGCCCGCCGCAGGGACAGCAACAGACTGGACAGAGCCCTCGGCGCAGCTGGGGCCGAGGCCAGGCTGCCGGGGGTGGAGACGGCCTCGCCTCTGGCCCCGAGGAGGGGGCTGCACAGCTGCTGGGCCCCCCGCAGGATGCAGGGCCCAGCAGGGAAGGTGGGGTGGCAGGGCCAGTGCTGGAGCCGGCCCAGCAGACGCTGGCCCCGGGCGGAGGGGCAGGGAGAGGGTCGGCGGGGCCCACCTGGCAGCTGCCGCGGGGAGCCCAGGAGGGGGATGGCCACAAGGAAGGCGGCAGCCCCAGCGCCCAGGAAGCCGACCCACCAGGCACCGACCCAGAGCGGGCTTTCAGAGGTCAGCTCCGTCCTGCGGGGAGAGGCCTTTGGGTCAGTGCTCACCCTGGTGCCCACCCAGGGGCCCCTCCGCTGGCGGGTCCAGGGGCTCAAGCTGAGGGGCTGCTGGCGAGGCCCCTGGCCAGGCCTGAGCGCAGGAGTCCCGGCAGAGCAGGAGGCCCAGCCTGGGCAGCAGGGAGGTTGGCCCTGACCCCAGCTCCCCCTCCAGGCTAGCCCTGGACATCCCCCGGCTGGGCACGCATGCCCGGGCCGCATCCCCAGCCCAGCGTGGGGGGCCGTGGGCACTCACCGGCGGCCCAGGTCTGTGTACATGTCCAGCAGGGCGCCTCCGATCAGGTAGCCGGCGGCGGGGCCCAGGATGGCCGCAGTGTAGAAGGTGGCTGCAGGGCGAGCAGAGAGCTGGGCCAGCACCCTGGGGTCACCAGGCTGACCGAACCCCACCCAGCCCACACTTCTGCACTCACCCCACCCACCCAGGCCCTCCGCAGTCGGGTGGCCTCCACGGTGCCTGCTGAGGGTCAGTGTGCTGCTGAGCCTGTCCGGACGCCCCCAAGCCATTGCAGGTGCCCTAGGACGCTGCCCCTTGAAAGAGCTAGCCCTGAGGCCCCCCTCGAGGGGGGCACCCCACGACACGCCGGGAGGAGGCGGGGCCGCAGGCGCAGGGAGGCCGGGGGAATGCCAAGGCCCCAGCCCCAGGCCCTGGCAACCGCCCGGTGACTTGGATGTGGGAGTCTGGGTGGGGGTTAGGGGTCAGCCGTAAGCTGTGACCTGGCCACTGGAGAGCCAGGCAGCTTGATGGCACCTGAGCGCCGTCCAGGAGGGGGACGCGCAGGAAGGTCAGGGAGTGAAACCTCAGAATGCCAGGCGAGCCCTGACATTTCGAGGGAGAGGCCCCTGCTGTGGGCAGGGCCCCACGGTGGGCGAGTCCCTGGCTCAATAGACAGGAGGGGGGGGCCCAGGGCCTCGGGTCTGTCGGGACTGGGCCTGGCCCTCTCCACCGCCCTCCCCTCCCCACCCCGGGGCCACCAGCTTGAGCAGGTCAGGTGCCAGGGTGGCCTCGGGATTATCCCTGTGCCTGTCACTCGTGGCCCCAAGTGATAGGGGCTCGTGGCAGGGCAGGCCGGCCACACCGTGGCCACTTGCTGTGGTCTGCGCCTTGCCAGGTGGGCGCCGCCAGCCCGCCAGGGGCTGCAGGCAGACGGAGACCCTCGGGATCACCTGCCTCCTGGCCGGGAGCACCCCTGCCGCCCCCACCTGCGCCGCCGCTCACCGATGTAGACGGGAGAGAGGCTGGGCTGGACGTTCTCATCCAGGTAGGTGACGCCCAGCGTGTAGAGGGGCGTGGCGCCGGCGCCCTGCAGGAGCTGGCCCAGCACGAAGACCAGCTGGTACCCCTGCAGGCCCGGGGCGCCGGCCCCACAGGCCCAGCTGCGGTTGGCCCAGCAGGTCCCGGCCGCCTGGCCACCCGGCACCTCATAGGGGCCCGCGGCAAAGTGGGGCAGCGCAAACAGCAGGGCGCCGGCGCCCATGAGCAGCACCCCCGCCCCCAGCCAGCGGGGCTTGTGGCCGCGCCCCCCGAGGTGGCTGACCACCGGCAGGCACAGGCAGGCGGCCGCGTCGTAGGCGCTGGCGATGAGGCCGCTCTGGGTGCTGGGCAGGTCAAAGCGCCGCTCGAGCGAGGTGACCACGGTGCTGACCAGGCCGTTGACCGTCATGCCTTGCAGGAAGGACGCCCCACAGAGGATGCCCAGGACTCCCCCCGGGGAGTTGAGCGCCCGCAGGCAGGCGGGGGCGGGGGCGCACCGGCCGCTCGGGGAGCTCCTGGGCCTCACCGCCACCCACCGGGCCTCCCGGGCCCCCCGCCAGCCACGCCGCCCAGGCCGCGGCTCACACAACTGGCCGCGGGCACCCAGGGGGCCGCCGGGGGCGGGGGGCGGGTGGAGGAGGGACGGTCCCCGGCCGGGGCGGGCTGGCGCAGCCGGGGCGGCGGGGGGCCGGGCCCCTACGGGGTGCTGGGGCATCTCAGCGGAGGCAACAGCGATGGTCGTGCCAGCGGTGCCGCGGGTCAGCTCTGTGAGGAGAAGCTCCGGTGAGTGGCCGTACCGTCGCCCACGCATACGCCGTGCTGCCCGCTGCCCCCCGCCCAGGGCCTGGACCCCCACTCGGCACCTGGCACGCCTCGGGCTGGCACTGGGGCTGGCGGCCGGCAGAGCCGCCGAGGGAGGCCAGGCGCGCAGGGCAGGGCTGGGCGGCGCGGTCCCGGGGCCACACGCCCGCCTGCCCCGGCTGACCTGGCCGGGCCTCCCGCTGCGGCCTCCGCCTGCACAGTGCCCCAGCCGCGTGCTCCGGCGTGGAGGCCTCTGGTCCGGGGAGGGGCAGGCGGGCAGCGGCGGCCCTGGCCAGGCGGCTCCGGGACTGGCCCCAGGCGGTCGGGTCTGGCTGTGCTGGCCCCCGGGGTCTGGGGCGGCTGCATGCGCCGCGGGTCGGTTTCTCCAGGTGCTCACGCGAGCCTCGCTCTGCAGTGTGGACAACAGGAGAGGCGCCTGCTGCCCGCTGTCCTGCCGCCTGGCCCCCCGCACCCCACACTCGAGAGGGGCACTCACAGCCCCTCGGATGCCGGAGCCCAGGCCTTGCCCACTCTGCTCCTAAAGAGAGGTGGGCGCTGCCTCTCCGCCAGAAGTGAGCCCGCAGCTTGGCCAGGTGCCCACACGCCACAGTGCGCCCTGCGGCTCCGGCCAGGCCCCTGGCCCCCAGGAGGACGTTGGCTCCCCGACCTCTGGGTGTCCGGAGACCTGCCCACGCGAGGAGGGCCCCTGGCCGCCGGGCGTGTCCTGTAGGAGGGAGAAGGCTAGACGGGCACCCCCATGGGGCCCAAGCCAGCCCTGGAAGGCCCCCAAGAACTACGCCAGGCCGTGTGGGAGCAGAGGGGTGTGGGGTTCAGGGGGGCCCTGGGTAGCCTCACCAGGGCCCCCTTCCCACGGGGCCACACAGGAGTTTCCCCCGCAGCGGAGACGCTCAGGTACCGGGAGGCGGGTGTCAGGAGGGGGCGCGGGCTGCGCAGACGGGCCAAGGGCGCCCCCTCTGCAGGCGGCCGGCGTGGGGCGTGGGCAGGCCTGGCGCTGCGGCCTCTGCATGTCCCGCGGGCCCGTGGGTGCTTCCCACACAGGGTGGGCGGCGCTGCTAATCCATCGCCCCCACCTCCAGGCCCGGTCTCTGGGGCCTCCTTCCCGAATGTTCTCCTTGTCAGCTCCTCCCGGGAGACCCACGCGGGCGGGAAGCCAAAGGCAGCCTGACAGGGGCTCCTGGCGGGAAAACGGGGCCACGCAGGGGAGCACCCCACAGCGCACACAGGCCCAGGGGCCCACCCCTGTCAGGTGGAGGCCGCAGGAGCCCCAGCGCCCCGGCTCAGCGCAGGGACGCACTGTGTGCGGTCAAGGAGGCCAGTCCCCCCTCCGCAGCTGGCCTGGCCGGTCAGCTGGGCCTGAGCAGGGAGGTCAGGCGGTCAGGTCCGCCCACCCTTCCTCCCCCACCCCCACTCCCTTTGCCCCCGGGCTGTCCGAGGGGGGCTGGGGCAGCTGGGGGCCAAGGGCCTCCCGCACCTGCTCAGCCACACAGGTGGGGAAGACCCGATGCTGGAGGGCTGGCCTGGCTGGCTCCGGCCCGGTCTGTGGGCTCCCTCCCTACAGGGCAGTCTGGCCCAGACAGTGCCCCCTCAAGGAAGGCTTGAGTGAGGGGTGCAGTCTGGTCCCTGCCCAGGTAGGGGGGCAATAGGGCTGCCCAGGGCCCATTCCTGACACCCCCAAACAGGGAACTGGGAAGAACATGGGTCTCCCTTCTCCCTGCTCTCTGCTTCACCCAAGTCCTGGCCACACTTGGCCGCTCGCCCACACCCAGCCAGCACCTGGCCTCCTGCACCCTGGCCACTTGGCGCGCTGCCCCTCGAGCCCCCCGAGGCTGCTCTCCCCCCGAGGGTGAGCACAGGCCTTGCGCTTCTTGGAAATGAAGTTCAAGCTGTTTATGGAGCGGGCTGTGGGCGCGGCAGGACCGGGCAGCCAGCACACCTGAGTTTGCATACCTGGTGGGCGCAGGTGAGCCACAGGAGGTGGCTGCTTTGCATCAGGACAAGGAAGGACTGTCAGGGACACGCCTCTGGGGGTGCCGTGCCCCACCCTGTCTCCAGGCCCGAGGCAGAGGAGCGGGCGGGAGGGCACAGCCTCCTGCTCTCACGCACAGCCCGTGCACTGGGCACCCCCACCCGGGTCTCCCTGGGCTTCGGCTTCCACTGTAATGGGGTGTGATGTCACGCGAGGAGGCAGAGGACCCTGAGGTGAAGGAGCAGCCCCCTCCTTGGAGTGGCCTCCTGGGAGGAACGTGCCGGGGGAGGGGCGGTTCTGGCCAGTGGTGCTGGCGAGGGGACAGGCAGGCCCAAAAAGCCGGGCGGGACCAGGGTGCACCTGGAGCCCAGCTGACCCAAACCTCCTCTGTGGCTGGGGTCCCGCAGTGCCCCCAAGACTGGTGAGACAAGAAAGCCATGGAGAAGAGGCGGCCGTGGGGTGAAGGGGCTGGTTCAGAGCCGGCCTGTGAGGAAGGGCTGGGGGGAGGCTCTGGCAGGGCCTGGGACTCAGGGTGCCATCGGGCAGGCTGTGGCCAGCAAGCACCGCCCTGTGCCTGGTCCTCGGCGGCCCCGGGCCTCCCCTGGCCACAGCGCAGTGCGTGATGCTGGCTCGAGGCCGCAGTCTGTGAGGACTCTGTGGGTCTGGAAGTGCGGCCCGAGGGTCAGAGAGTGTCGGGGGGCTGTGAGGGGCAGGGGAGAGCGGGGCCTGGAGCTGGCAGGGAAGCCCCAAAACCAGCCCATGGGGGCACAGTGGCATCTAGCCTGCTCCGGCCAGTCCGGCCCCTCCCGCTCCTGCAGGTCCTGGCCCACGACAGCCCAGTACCCGGAGGTGTGAGCTGTGCCCACGCGGCCCTGGGGCCCCCCCAGCCCCGGGCCAGATGCAGCGCTGGGCTGGGGGCCCCGAGGAGTCACGAGTCCCAGGGCACCCACCTCCCGAAGCAGACACGGGCTCTTCCACGGCCACGCTGGTCAGGGCTTCGTGGTCTCTGTCCACGCCCGTGGTCTCTGGACACAGCGAGGGGGAAGTTCGGGTGGCCTGGCCCCTCAGGGCTGGCTGTGCCGCTGCCTCCCACACAGGACACCGGGGCAGGGTCTGCTCCGGGGCTGCCCCAGAACAGGGGGCTCAGGAAGTGACGCCACGCGCAGGGTCGGCTCCCTGCCCGTCCTCCAAGCTGCGACGTGGGCCGGCACGCTGGAGGCTTCCAGGTCGCCAGGGACCGGAGCCGCTGCCGGGCATTCACCTGGACCTCACGACGAGCTGAGGAAGGCGGTGGCGGAAGGCAGCGCAGACTGGAAGCGAGCGTCGAGGGGCAGACCCGCGGGCCTGGCACTACGCGGGAGCTCGCTCGGCCTCTGCTCGTCCTGCCCAGCCTCCCAGGGCCCCCCAGCCGGCGCTGCTGGGGGCTCAGCCTGGACCTGCCCTGCACCTGCTTCGGGGCTACACCCAGGACAGAGCCACGGGGGCGGGGGGGCAGCCTGCAAAGGCTCTTTCCGGGTGGGGGTAGGAAGCCAGGAACCAGGAGAGGGGGGCACGGTTCCGTGGAGGGCCCCCCCCCTCCGGCGGCACCAGGAAGGCCTGGCTGAGCGGCGCACGCCCCAGCCTCCACCTCCACCTCCGGGGCGTCTGCCTGCCCGGCAGCCTGGGCTCCGTGCCTCCCCCCAAGGCCGCAGCATCAGAGCGATGGCCTGGCCGGCCACTCCCGCCCTGTGACCCCGGGCAAGTCACTCACCCTCAGGGCCTGGGTCACCCAGCTGCGAAGGGGGTTAAAACCCTGGGGGCTCACTCAGAGCCAGGCGCAGCCCACCCTGGACAGCCCACCTGGCTTGACCGCCTTGGCACAGGCGCCGGGAGGCACCCTCGCTGCAGGGCCGGCCCCGCCTGCAGACCCAAAGCTCAGGCCCCGGCCCAGCCCCCTCGCCGCGGGCCGGCAGGCATCGGAGCTCGGGGAGCGGAGGCGCCCGCGCGGCCCGGCCCTCCGGTGGAAAAGTACTGCGTCCGCCGTCCTGCGCCCCCGCCTGCGCCGCCCCGCGGGACTCCCTCGCCCGCCGCCCCCAGCCCTGGCCTCCCGGCGGCGGGGCGCAGGCCTCCCGGGCCGAGAGCGGAGGGGCTGCCTTTCGCCTCCGAGGACCGCAGGGCGCTGTGCGCGGGGGCGCCGGTCCCGTCAGCGCGCACTGGGGGTGCCGGGCGCGGGTCCGACCTCCCGCCCCGCCGCCCGCCCCGCCGCCCGCATCGGGGCCCAGCCCGGGGTCGCCGGCACCTGCCGCGCTCCTGGTCAGCGGGGGCCGCGCCCCCGGCCCGACCTCGCGGCCGCGCGGCCCCAGCACTCACCGTCCGCGGGCGCAGCGCCGCGCTCCCCCCCTCGGCTCGGCCCACGCGCCTCGTTCATCCCGCCGGGGCGGGCGGGGTTCGGGGCCGGGCCGCACCCCCTGGCCAATGGCTGCGCCGAGCGGGAGCGCCGGCCGCGGCCTCAACCACCCTCTGAAGTGAGCGGCGGGGCGGGGCGGGGCGGAGAGGCGGCTGGGAGGGCGGCCCCGGGGGCTCCGGAGCCCCCCAGAGCACTGCACGCAACGGAGAGCCGCCTGAGGTCCGCTCCAGGCCGCGGCGCTTGCGCGGTGTCCTGCGAGGGGAGGCAGAGACCCTCCCCTGGGGCCGGCAGGTGGAGGCTCGGCCTCCGGAGCCGGACACGCTCTCCGCAGAGGCCGCCACGGACGCGCCCTGAGAGGGGCCCGGGGGCTCAGGCCTTGGGCAGAGGAAGACAGAGTGTGGATTCCAGGGAGTGCCGAGTCCTGGGGGCGACGTGAGGGCCCCCATCCCACCCTCAGGAATGGCAGATGAGGGCGGGTGGGGGCCCCCAGGATAAGTGGCGGCGCCCCCGGCCTGCGCCTGGCCGCGGGGCCGCCGGGCTCTCCTGGCAGCTCTGCCTCCGCGTCTGCGGAGCGCGCGGGCGAGCGGCGGTGGTGCGCGCCCGCCGGAGGCTTGGCACCGCCCAGGCCTGCCCAGCGCCGGCTCCGCTGCTCTGGGCTTGGGACGGGTCAGCGGGTCCCTCCGGCAGAGGCCTCACCTCCCAGCAGCTCCGAGCGCCCATCCCTGGGTCTCGGCGTCAGCCCGGAGCACAGCCGCCCAGGCCAGGTGCACGGACACGGCTGCCCCCTGCCTGCCCACCGCCCGCCGCGGGGTCTCGTTCGTCTCCGGTAACTGCCGCGGCCCGGGAGACCGCGCTGACCGAGGGCGTCTACCGAAGACTTCGCGAGCCCAACATCCCAATCATCCAAGTTATTTGCAGCCTGTTTGGGCCCTTCCTCGGGGGGGCTGCGCTGCGGAGCGCAGCAGACCTCACACCCCGCAAGCCCCTCGTCCAAAGCCCAAGGACGGAGGAGGCAGGCCCTGGCCCCTGCCAGGCCCGGCCCTGCCCTGGGCTGGAGCCCACACCCCCGCCTCCCGCCAGGGACTCCCCTCCCAGGTGCGCCCTCTGCCACCCCCACGGCGCCCACAACCTCCACCCAGGGCCTCTGCCCAGTGTCCACCTTCCTCCTCTGCGGACTGTGCAGACCTTGACCTTGAGCCTGCTCCTCCAGGAAGCCCTCCAGGCCCACCTCCCCTCCTCCACCCCGGCTCTCTTTACCATTTGTGGGGCTGGGCCTTGTCCCCAGCCCCCCCGCAGGCTGCGCCGCTTGGAGAGCCTTCAAGCAAGCTGGACATCCGGTGTCCACCCCCAGGCCCCGCGGGAGGTGTCGATGAAGGGGAGGAGGCCCAACCGCAAGGATCGCCTCAGTTTTCCCAGCCCGGGCGGACGTCCAGGAGCGCACAGTGGCTCTGGGGTGCCCCCTCTGCTCAGAATGGGCTTTCCAGGGTCCCGGAACTGACCCTGGGGTGCAGCCTGGCAGGGCAGGGTGGTCGGTGGCCTGGCTCTGCGGCCCACCCTCCTGCACCCACGACCTGCCGTCCGAGAGGCAGCGTGGCGGGTGCCCTGGACAACTGGGCTCCACTGGCGACGGGGTTCAGCAGCCTGGGAGCCCCCAGGAGAGCCCCAGACCCCCCTCCCGGCCAGAGACCGACCGGGGTTTGCTCTCAGCTTGGGGGTCTGCAAGAGGTGGCAGCTGTGGGGGGGAAGGGCCCCGGGAGGACCGCTGCTGGGGGTCTTTGTCATGCCCCCGTCTGCGGCCAGAGGTCAGTGCCCGCGGGGCATGGGCAGCGGCAGAGAAGGCCACGCCCCAGGTGGGCGCCGGGCCCTGCTCCTCGGGGCAGGCTCAGTGTGGCCGGCCGAGAAGGGCACACACGGGCCCGGGAAGGGGCTGCTGTCCTGGGGGCTGGGACCCCACGGCCGTGGGCCTGTCCAGCCTGTGTCCCGACTGGCCCTTGGAGCCCCGGACAAGGGGAAAGGCCCGGGGTGGGACGGCGACTCAAGGCCCCGCCCCCCTGAGGCTCCGTCCAGCCCGGGAACGGCCCTGGCCACAACCCGTCCCCAAATGCCCACATTCGGTCTTGTCGGGGCCGCGGGCCCTCTCCCCCGTGCCTGGAGCGGCCTCCCCCTGTGGCCCACCGGCCCCGGCCCTGAGGTCTGAGGGCCCCGAGGTCTGAGGCCACTGGCCATCTCCTTACGGTGCCGGAACCCTGGGTGGTCTCTGCGCCCAGCTGGGCACCCACACACAGCCCCCAGGGCCCCCCGAGCTGGCCGCTGGGCAGCCCCGGCCTCATCCTCAGGCGGCCGCCCTGGGAGGGAAGGTGGGCTCAGCCCCCTCCTGGCTCCCTGGAGCCTGCGCCCGTGAACCGTGGCCCGCACCCCACCGGGGCGCCTGCTGGCTCTGCTCACTGTCGGGGGAGCAGCCGGCTGCTAGGCCTCTTGCTCCTCACCCCCGGGCCCCCTCAGGCCACCCCGGCCCTCCCCCAGGCGCCCCACCTCTGGCACAGGGCGGTGTGGGGGCGGGGCACAGCACAGGCCGACACAGCACTGGCCTGGCTCCGCTCCGAGCCTGAAGCGGGGCCTGAGAAGGATGCACGTCCGCAGCTGCGCCCTTGCCTGGGCTGCCGGCCGCGGGTGGACGCCCCCTGGAATGCTGGCGCCCGAGTGGAGCTGGGCGGGGCTCTGGCCATGGCCTCACACCGGGCGGAGGAGCGGGGCTGCGGCGGGGGGCAGCTTCCAGCGCCGTGACGTGCTGCCGGGCCTCCGCCAGGGAAATGGAAAAACCCCAAGCACCAGGGCCAGTTTCCCCGCCGCAAGTGGCTGGAGGTGAAGTTTCCTTCCGTCTGGGCCACACCCAGCGATAGACGCTTCCTGGGGGCTCTTGCTGCTTTGTAGGCCAGTTATGAAGGTGACATGGAGGAGGGGATGGTGATGGTGATGGTGATGGTGGTGATGGTGGTGATGGTGGTGATGGTGATGGTGGAGGTGATGGTGGTGATGGTGATGGTGGAGGTGATGGTGATGGTGGTGGTGATGGTGATGATGGTGGTGGTGATGGTGGTGGTGATGGTGATGATGGTGATGGTGGAGGTGATGGTGGTGGTGATGGTGATGGTGGTGATGGTGATGGTGGTGGTGGTGATGGTGGTGATGGTGATGGTGGTGGTGATGGTGGTGGTGATGGTGATGGTGGTGGTGGTGATGGTGATGGTGGTGGTGATGGTGATGGTGGTGATGGTGGTGATGGTGGTGATGGTGATGGTGGTGGTGGTGATGGTGGTGATGGTGATGGTGATGGTGATGGTGATGATGGTGGTGATGGTGATGGTGGTGATGATGATGGTGATGGTGATGGTGGTGATGGTGGTGATGGTGGTGGTGATGGTGGTGATGGTGGTGGTGATGGTGGTGATGATGATGGTGATGGTGATGGTGGTGATGGTGGTGATGGTGATGGTGGTGATGATGATGGTGATGGTGGTGATGATGATGGTGATGGTGGTGATGGTGGTGATGGTGATGGTGATGGTGACGATGGTGATGGTGGTGATGGTGATGGTGGTGATGGTGATGGTGATGGTGATGGTGGTGATGGTGGTGGTGGTGATGGTGATGGTGGTGATGGTGATGGTGGTGATGGTGGTGGTGGTGATGGTGATGGTGATGGTGATGGTGGTGATGATGATGGTGGTGGTGATGGTGATGGTGATGGTGGTGATGGTGATGGTGGTGATGGTGGTGGTGATGGTGGAGGTGATGGTGGTGGTGGTGGTGATGACACTGATGTATGGATGTCTCCATCTCCCTCATGCCAACTCTCCTAGCAGCATGTGGCGAAGGGTTGACCTTGACCTGTAGCGGCCTCAAGAGGCCTGACCACACCGTGACGGACTTGAAGCAGGTTTTGGGGCCGTGGAGCAGGGCTGGGGAGTGCAGACGAGCAGGCCATCAGGCAGGGTGGTGTGGGCGGGAGGGCGGAGCAGTGCTGCAGAGGGGCAGCGTCTTGGAGGTGGGAGCCCCACTGGCTCCTGGAACTCATGTAGTGGGGGGGGTCTGAGGTGGACCCACAGCTCTGGTCTTGCAGGACAGTCAGGCGGGGAGATAGGCTGGGACATCAGCTATGGCAATTAGGCGGCATTTGACTGAGATCAAGGCCAGGGGCTGTGTGGGGGTGGGGCGGGGCCTGGCGGGGGGACATGGGGAGTGCAGCCCAGGGGGGCTGCTTCTCCTGCCTGTGTGGCTAGGTCGTGAAAGATCACCGGGCTGTGGGCACGCAGGGCGCTGCCAGACCTCTGCTAGCCCTGAGAGGCCCGTGTCCCCAAACCTGGGACTTGCAGCTGAAGGGGGCAGGGTACCCCAGGTCTGGCTTTCCTTTCGTCTGTTTGTTCTGTCTTGGTCAGGGCTGCACTGACTTTTAAGTATGGGGATGAAAATGGGAATTTTGTGTGCACAGCCCCATGGGGTCCCTGGCATGGTGGCATCAGGAGGGCCTGGCTGGTCCCAGTCACTGCCACCAGGGTGGTGCTCCAGCCTGTCCCTGTCCCAGACGGTGGCCTGGCTGTGCTCCCTCAAGTCACGGGACGCTGGCCTGTCCGCTCCGTGTCCCCCAGCCTCTGGCGTCGTCCCCTGGGAGGCGGGAATGGCTTCTAAGGAGACTGGCTCCTAGCCGGTGTGCCCCCTGCTGCCGGAGGCTTGCACAGGCTGGGCCCCAAGATGGCTACAGAGTCCTGTGCCCCCACCCCCCTGTGAGCGCCACCCCACACACGGCTCTTTCTGGGAAGCTGGTGGTTTGCCTGGCACTTCCCCTGTTGATAGTGAGGGACTTCTTGGGACAACAATGGAGCTTCCCTTAAAATACCCAAAGTTGGGCTGGGCGGGGGGTGGGGGGGTTGCTGAGGCCAGGTGTGTCTCTGAGGGGCCAGCAGTGCTGCCCCCAGGGCAGTTCTGGATCAGGCTTCACTGGAGGCCCTTGTGGCTGCCAGAGG